CCCTATGCCCTCAGCAGTCTAAGCCTATAGCAACATAACTGTAGAGATAGTTCAGACCAACCTGAATCTCTCTAACTATAAGCTTTATCAAAAAGAAACGTTTTAAGCCTACACTAAAAAGTAGACAGGGTGTTTGTCTCATGGACTAAAACTGGTAGTTGGTTCCATAGGAGAGAAGCCTGATAGCTAAAAGATTGGCCTCCAATTCTACTTTTAGAAATTCTAGGAACCACTAGTAAACCTGCAGATGATGAGAGCGAAGTGCTCTGTTAGGAATATAAGGAACAATAGGATCTCTGATATCAGATGGAGCTTGGCCATTTAAGGCTTTATATGTGAGAAGGAGGATTTTAAATTCTATTCTGGATTTAACGGGAAGCCAATGAAGAGAAGCTAGAATAGGAGAGATATGATCTCTCTTTTTAATTTTCATCAGAACTCTGGCTGCAGCATTTTGGATCAGCTGAAGGCTTTTAACTACAGTTTGTGGACTTCCTGATAGTAAAGAATTACAATAGTCCAGCCTTGAAATAACAAATGCATGGACTAGTCTCTCACCATCTAAATTGTGCAATATTCCCAATATATGGGATTTAAATGATTGGTTATCAATGACCTAATCAAAAATAATAATTAAACAATAATTTTTACTTTATTATCTGAGATCAGTTTAATCCCATCCAAATGAAGTGGCTGACTAATCAGCTTATTTTTCAAAGACTCTGGTCAAAGAATACAACTTCTATTTTGTCTGCATTCAGGAGCAGAAAGTCAAGAGTCATCCAGGTTATTATGTCTTGGAGACATGCCTGTAATCTATGTAATGGGTTAGCTTCATCTGGATTTATAGACAGATATAGCTGGGTATCATCAGCATAACCGTGGAAATAATCCCATGCTGTCTAATAATACTACCGATTGGCAGCATATATATATATATATATATATATATATATATGTGTAGTAAAGAGAATTGGTCCTAGCACTGATCCCTGTGGTACTCCACAGGTAACTCCGGAGCATGAGCAAGATTTACAGTATCATAAACGTGAACAAACTGAAATTGGTCAGATAGAAATGATTTAAGCCACTCCAGTGCTGTTCCTCTAATTCCAACAAAATATTCAAGTATTTCTAAAATAATATTATGATCAACTGTGTCAAATGCAGCACTGAGATCCAACAGGACGAGCACAGATACAAGTCCATTATCTGAGGCCATGAGAATATCATTAGTGACTTTCACCAGAGCTGTTTAAGTGCTATGATGAGCTTTAAAGCCAGACTGAAACTCTTCAAAAAGTTAATTATGGTGTAAGTGGTCAAACTTTTGTTTGGCAACTACTTTTTTTAGAATTTTAGAAAAGAAAGGAAGATTGGATATAGGTCTATAATTGACCAAGTCATCTGGGTCAAGAGATGGTTTCTTAAGTAAAGGTTTGGTTACAGCAACCTTAAAAGCCTTTGATACATATCCCTGGAAAAGGGAGAGATTAATCACATCTAAAATGGAGGAGGAGATCAAAGGGTTAAATAACCTGCTTGGAACTGGATCTAACATATAAGTTGAAGGCCTATATGAAGACAATACTTTTGCTAACTCTGAAAGTTGAACTGGATCAAAGCAGTATAAATCCAGTTCAGATTTTAAGGCCACATAAAATCATTGCTGCTAACATCAGGTGGGATGGATGGTTCAACAGAGCTGTGACTCCGGGAGAGTTTTGCAACTGTATTAATAAGATGCCTAGGATTATTCTTATTCTACTCTATTAATGAGGATAAATATACTCTTGCTTTATAAAGGGTCCTCTTATACAGCAGTAAACTATTTTTCCAGACTACGTAGGATTCCCGTAGGCATGTAGAGCGCCATTTTCTCTCAGTGTCCCAGCATTTTTCATTTAGAGTGCTCAGCTCTACATTAAACATGCTTTTGATTTTTAAAGTTTTCTTTTTCAAAGGGGCTGCATTGTCAAAGGCAGTACGCAGAAAACTAGCAACCAAACCCTTCAACAAAATCCTAAACCTGTGAAGGGGAACAAGCTAAACTTTTGCTATCTGCAGCACTGTGCAGTGACACAAAGGAGAGAGAAAGTAAAACAGATTCTTTGAAATTTGTAACTGATGATCTGCTGAAGTTAAACCTGAAATAAAGTTAAATCCTGAAGGTTATTAAAAGGTGGTCAGAGAGGACAAGGTTATGAGGAAATACTGTTATTTCTTCGCATTCAATGCCATATGTATGAAGATGAAAATGTGTGGGACTATTCACATTTTGAACAAAGCCAATAGTGTCTAAGATAGCATTAAATGCTGCACTTAAGCTATTACATTCAATGTCAGCATAGATGTCATAGATGTCATCCTCCACTATGATGACCCTGTCAATATACAAATAATCAGATAGGAACTCTGAAAACTCATTTAAAATTTCAGAGTAAGGACCTGGTGGACAATACAAAGTTACAAAAAAAAGAGGTTTTCTGGCTTTGCAGTTTGGAGGAGGGAAAGTAAGGGTTAAATGTTTAAAAGAGTTGATATTATTAACTGCCTTCGGAATAATGAGTAAGTCAGACAGAAAGATTGTTGCTACTCCTCCTCCTCACCCTGAATTTCTGGTTATGTGAACATTTAAATAACGAAGGAGTTGCCTCATTTATGCTCACGTAATCCTCTTGCTGCTTCAGCCAAGTTTCTGTATGACAACATAAATCAAGTCATTAACTAGCAGACTTTTTGAAGAAAGAGATCTAATGGTAAATAAACCACATTTAACTGTTTTAACTTTTTTTCCCCAATTTGAGTTATTTTCATTTTAATTTAAATAACAAATGGCTTTAAAAAAAATAACTACTGGCATTCATAATAATTTAATTTCATTGCATCTCAGTATTTGCTCATCTTACATCTCTTTTGGAAAATCCTGATATTTTTAAAATCAAATTATTATTTCATATTATATTATACTAGTTTGGGATACAGGTTTGTGATCTGTCTATAAGATTATGGGCAGTGGTTCCCATGTCTACCCATAGGATTTTGTACCATGAGTAAATCGATTAATCTAGTGATTATGTTTTCGTTTAACTGATTAATAATCAGATAGCCAAAAGTTCCTTAAACTAAAAATGTTCCACTTGAGGAGTTCTGGATAGAGCAGATTGTCTGTCAAAAAAGATTTTTTTTAATCTGAAATGCAAAAGGTTTATATGTCTGTATATATTATTACAATCTTATAATTACTGCTGTAAGTGGGTCGGTCTGTCAGCTAGAGGCATGTTTTGCAGTTTCTGGTTAATGATTAAATAATTACTAAATTAGTTGACGATTATTTCAATAATCGATTAATCATGACTGATTGTTTCAGCCCTCAAGTATTTTATTTAATCTTTGACATGTTATTCTTTCCAACTCATATAAAAAAAAACAACTTAAATCTGTTGCCCGGAAGTTAGTAATGTATCAAAATAAATACAAAATAAAATAATACTATAAATCTTTCTTTATAAAGCTGTAACTCCCCTGTAATCACATATAATAGAATCGGGAACAAAATACTGAACAAAAATTATAGTCCGACTGACTCAATTTGTTATATCTTACTTTTTTTATCATTCATGACAACTGAGCGGCTTTGATCAGATGTGGGAAAACAGGTGATCTAAGCCTGTTCTCTACATTCAGTCTGTTATTCTGTTTGGTTTTATGTGTATCAAAGATTAAGCTAAACTCAAACATCAGTCAAAACTGACTTTCTGGTTGAAAAAAGCCTGTTTTATTTTTTTGTTGAGTCCTCACAAAGTAGAACAGATTCCAGCTCTTTTTTTTTTATTTTATTACTGGAGAAACTAAATATTTAATAAACCCCTTGCAATGCACTTGTGCACCACTAGGGGTATGAGTGCCCCCTGTTAGAAATCAATGGATTATAGTATGGTTTGTAAATTTGCAAGGATTTCGGGATACGATATGTAACACAATACACCTTCCACGATATGATTTATCCTGATTTATCTCGATACATTATAAAAGACAATATTTTAGGTCTGCAACTAACGATTATTTCGCAAATCGATAAATCTGTTGATTATTTTTTGATTTATGGATTAATAAATGTATAGGTTCCAAAGGTTCCTTAAAGAACACTTTTGATAAAGTTAACCAAGGGGAAAGTAAAACTTTTACACTTGAGGAGTTCTAGATAGAACAGATTGAGAGACAAAAATATATTTTTTATCTTAAATGCAAAATGTTTGTATATATTTTTACAATCTTGGCATTAGTATTGCTTTAAGTGGGTCTCTGTTGTCTAAACGCATGTTTTAATCTAAAGTATTAATCTATCACTGAATTAGTTGACGATTATTTCAGTAATAAATGAATCATGATTATTCCTATTAATTGTTTCAGCCCTACAATATTTTGCATTTTATTGTAAAAAAAAAAAAAAAAAATATATATATATATATATATATATATATATATATATATATATATATATATATATATATATAGCTCTTAAAAAACTTAATGCACTGCTGTGGCTGGTGCAGAGCTGAATATTAGACACTTAAGGATGGCCTGCCACATGGTGGCTGGAGGTTTAAGAGGTATATTAAATTAAGACGATGCCATAAATGTTTCTCTACAAATATTTTTTAAATATAAGATCTATTCAGCCATATTTTGAATCCATAAAATGGTTGTCTAATGAAATACTGCGATATTTGATAATCAAATTTTTCTTTTCTTACAGTCCTAAAGTTAGGATGCATATCAAAGGGAGATGACTTGATTCATCAACAGGATTATATTTTTGGCCGATATGGCTTGCATTGGTATTAGTCAATATGTGACAACATCGGATGTGAAATGTGACAGCTGGCCATCAGAAAAAAACTTTTTTTTATTTATTTTCTCGGCCCCTTAATGAGGCTCCTGTTAGTTTTATACTATTTTAATCTACCAATATTTGTTTTTTTTTTCTTTCATTTCAGGAGTGCAAGAAGTTTTGGGAATAGAAATTAAAACGAAAAAGGAGCTGGAGGCTGTCAATGGGACCAATGTGAGGCTGTGGTGCTCCTTCACCTCCACTCAGCCAATTTTGCCTGAGAAAGTCATTGTGTCATGGTCCTTCCGGGGAATTAATTCAAGATCAGATGATCGTGTAAGTATTACAAAAGTGCTTGTTTTTTGTGTAAAGAGTCAATTTTACTGTCACAGATAGAGATCAGCCTTCATATCCGCTCTCTAAATTTTTAATATGAAGATTTTACTTTGATTCAAATTAGAGACATTAGATTTACACAGGAAAGAATTAAAGGTACCACTGTTTCATGTTATTCATCACTTCTGCACATGTTATAGCACCTTATTACCTTATACTGTAAGAAAGTGAAAAGGCTTTGCTTCTCCTGTTGAAAGACCAAATGATGGCGCATTGTCACCTGAAAGGAGGTTAAAAAAGTTTTGGAAGAGAAACAGGTCAACATCATCAGCTGGCTTAGCCTAGCTTGATGCACGTTTGAGATGAGCTGAGGCTTTGAGGCGTGTGTTGAGTAGTGGAGGAGGTGTTTCCCCGATAACAACCAATCTACTTGGTTAAACTATTTAGGTCAGATTAAACAGTAATATCAGTGCTAAATAGTATTGCTCTCCATGGTGCAGTTACCATTGCTGGTGGCGTCAGCTGTAAGACATTGACTTCTAATCCTGATGTTGATGGTTCGACACCCAACTTAGACTTTTGATAGTTGCGATTATACTTAGCAAGTATTTTGGCTAATGTGACTAATTTGTATTGGTTTGCCCTCGTAGTAATATATTTTGGGTAAAAGCACTGCCAATTTATATTGGCTGGTTAAGCTATAATGTTGGTTGAACACATGACTTTCAACCAGATTACAACCAAAGATGGTGGAAAAATGTTTGAGTAAAACTGAATAACACGTTTCATTTTGCTCATCATTGCCCAATTTTCACAAACACTTTAACTGTTTGCTTGAGCCTATAAAACCTTAAAGTAGGGAAACGGCTGTTCCAATGGTTGCAATTCCAAATTCTCCCGAGTGGTTCCCGACTTTACGCGAGTGAATAAAGTGAAAGTGATTGGTCGATTATCAAGGGGGCCGGATTGTTTTGGCGGAAGCTATTTGGTTGTGGCCGGTGTCTCAGAAGCATATTGAACAAGAAGCATATTGTCGGGTGACACCCTGATGGAACATGGTTCAAATTCAAAATAGATGCTTATAATGTCAATCTCTTATTACATAAAAATCTAATTCTTCAACAGCTTTGACAAACCTGTGACCCCTACACCGCTGCTGCAGCCATCTCCCCTTTCCTGCACAATTCACCTCGCCCCAGAAACAGCATCTCTACCCCCAGCCTCCACCTGTTCCCCCCACCTTACCTATCACAGCTGAACTCCTTTGTTCCCCGAGCCATAAAGATGTATAACTCCTAACTAATGGGAAGGAGGAGGTGATATGAAGCGGGACAAGGGTCAGCACCCCACCTTCTTGGACATCTTGTGCAAAACATCACCTATTTTCATTCATGGGGAATATTCTTGTCTCTCACTGTGCAATAACACGTCAACTACTGTGTAGCCTGTGTCATTTTTACTCATTTATATGGTTAGTACAAATCTGCAGTACAAGTGCAACAACCTAAGTCAACTACTATGTAGTCTTCCCTAGCTCTCTACTGTGCATATATATATATATATATATATATATATATATATATATATATATATATATATATATATATATATATATATATATATTTTTTTTTTTTTTTTTTTTTAAGGGTTTGCAAAATAATCGTCATGACGATGCATCGCGATTCTAATTTTTGTGATCTACTGCATCAAATTAACAAATAAAATACATTAATGTTTGGTGCACATCAGCCAAATCAAGTGGAATACAACTTCCAGTCCAGCAGATGTCGCTGCGGATGTGTTGACGCCCGCTGCTTGTGTCACAAGCATTTCCGGCCGTGGGATACTGCGACCAGTCATATGAAATAAAACATGGAGGACACTGAAAATTCACCCCGCGGTTCCATCACATTTCAAGTCAGATGCTTGGATGCATTTTGGCTTTATAAACAAAGAAGGTAAAAACGAAATTGATATGATGCACGTAATTTGCAAAAGGGGAAATGTCAAACATTTGAATGTTTTCATTTCATTGGTTTAAAGGACCACTGAGGCCATGTAAAAGGCACTGACTATCCTTATTTTGTTATTTTAAGTTTGATGAATCCGAAGATCTTTTTGTCAGTGTGTCCACGCCAGTAATAGTAATATTTCAGTCCAGTATTTGTTTTCATGGCAACACCTCCAAAAGTCGTTTCAATAAATACAGCTATGTATGAATTCAGTTGCTTTCAGTTATGTATCAATTGAAGACACTATCCAGATCATACCCAGCCAGTCAGCCACTGGTAAGGGCTGTATCTTTTTCTTACAATGTTCAGTGAAAATATCGCAATGCATAGTGATGCATCGTGATAGAATCGCATCGTGTCATGACGTCTTTGCCAATACCCACCCCTAATATATATATATATATATATATATATATATATATATGTGTATAAGGGAAACATATTCCTGGATATTACAACCTTTTTTCTTCTTTTTTATACTATATACAATATTTTTACTCTTTGTACTCTATATACCGGTAATCTACTGGAACTAGAATTTCCCTGAGGAAGTAATTACAAGGGAAATACAAAGTTGAGTCGAAGTCTAAGTCTAAATGAATGATTTATCATTTGAAGAAAGTATTATTTTTTATTAGTTTTAGCAGTATAAGAATTTTGCTATCCCCTTTTTTTCGGTTCAATTTCTGTGCTTTATTTACCATTGGCTGTGTGTTTTTCAGGTGCTTTACTACCACGAGATTCCGTATCCTCAAAAAGAGGGGCTCTTTAAAGGCCACGCAGTGTGGTCAGGAGATATAGGGAGAAAAGATGCTTCCATCACCTTAGACGATGTGCAGCCCAACTTTAATGGAACCTACACCTGCCATGTGACCAACCCTCCAGACTTCCACGGCAGTAGTGGACAAACTGTCCTCAGAGTCGTCAACAAAGGTGAGACATGCTATGAGACGTCAATGGATTGTTAGTTTACATTGAAACTGTAAACAGGTCGTGTAAAAGTATTCATATCCCTTATTTTAGCAATATATTTTCACATTTAAAATCTTTTAGTATTCAATGTGCTTTGGGTTTTTTTTATTTGATAGACCAACACTATGGAGTGAACTGTGATCCATAATTGTTGCAAGCAAAGAACATGTTTTCTGAATAAAATCCAATAATACACTATTTTAAAAAAGGGTTAAAAATGGTTAACTTTGCTGTTTTCCATGATTTGTTTTTGACTTTTTCAATAGATTATATTTTCCAATTTTAGTTTTTTATTGGTTTTCTAAGATTGAATTTTATTGATTGCATTATTTGCGTTTTAAAGATCACACACTTTATAGTTCCAGCCCAACTCAAACGGTCACGTTGACCTATAATGATGTTGTTGCTAACGTCCAGCAGACCAACAGAAATGCTTCTTTGCTGCCCCCAGAAGTGAAGAGGATGATCTGTGACATGCAACAGAAGATTGCAATTTATAAAACTAAATATGAAAAAGAAAAATTTGAAAAGTAAAATTCGAGAAAAAAAAGGAGTAATTTTGGGGGGGAAAAAATAACATTTAACAAAACTTGTATATTATTCAATATATATTTACAAAGTTTAAACATATAAATTAAATTTTTTTTTTTTAAAATGTGCTCATTTTGAATTTTGTAAATATATTTTAAACCAATTATCCTGTTCCTCGAAAATGTAGTGTTGGTCTATTAAAGTAGACACCCAGGACCACTGTTTGCCCCCCCCCCCTTCAACCTATTCAAATCACTCTTTGTGCTCCTCCTTCCAGTGACACTCTCTGACGCCACCTTCTTTTTGTCCATTGTCGGGGGTTGCTGCGGCCTTGTCCTGGTTCTCCTCGGCATCTTTGCTGTTGTGAAGGTTTGCCGGAAGAAACAAAGGGAAGATGACTTTGAATATCAAGAGGAGTGCAGCAAGAATGAGCCGACTATTTGGTGAGGCTCCAGAGAACAAGAGTTTTTGTCATCCTTTTGCTGTCGGGACTGCTGTGGAGTCTGTCTGGCTGCTTGGGTCCATTTTCTTGGAAGAGGACAATTTTTTCTGTCATGTTTGCTCCCCTAGAGCCAGTTCTCAGATACTACCAAGGCCGCTGTAGTAATGGAAGTATAGTATTAAGTATTATATTTTGTTTTAAATGAAAAATCTGGACATTTTTATCAACTCTACTTTTCAAAAACTGTAATTTGATGAAAAACTTTTATGGTTTTTAAGAGTTTAGAATGCTGAAGGGATGTAAATATGGACCCCTGTTGTAGTCATTGTGGGTCTGGATTTCAATTTACCTGAGCGATTCTGATGCATAAATTAGCTTTTTATCAAGCTGCTCATTTTCTTGACTTTTCTACCTTTGGGTTGTTTGTGGCAACAAGAAGTGCATTGAATTAAGGTTTCTGCTTCACACTGCATGACACCGCTGCACTAACAGCTGTTGCTACGCAAAACTATCCCATCTTTGAGTTCAGGTGAAGAGTTTTTGAAATCCACACCCTGGAGAACAATGAGCTGGTTTAACTCCTCTTTGTCAGGGAGCGCTCTGGTTCTTTGGGCTTGCATTGACAAAAAGGTAACCTTTTTTTTTTGGCATCTGTCCTTTCTGTTACCTTGGCAACAGATATGTTAACTAAGGTAACGCCGTCATACTCATTTACTGACCCCTGTACCTGTGTAAGCTGACGTCCCAGATTGTCCCCGTCTCACTTTTTTTCACTTTTGTTTTTCTGTGTGTCTGCGGCTGATTCTGTTTGACCGTGGTTACCATGGTTACCACAGTTCACCTGCAGAGGCAGTTCACCTGACGGTTCTGAAAAAGGAAAAGGAAGTTGGTAGTTCAGACGATGAGGAGTCTGAGCCGAGCAGTGGGGGCGATGAGGAGGAGGATGATCCCGGAGATGGTGACGATGATGACGACGACGATGATGATGATGATGATGGTGGTGATGATAAAGACAAAAAGAAAAACCTGTTTTAGTAAAAGGAATGATGCACTTAAAGGAAATCGTGCCATGCAAATATTTCAAACTCTGTTTCAGCTCACTGTTGGTAGCTAAAGGCAGCGGTTAATCACTGGGAAACCAGAGATGCTGTCTATGTAACACATTTACTAATCATTTATTTTTAAACATCTTCATCAGTTTGTCCTTTTGCAGCCAGCGCCATCCGGCCTCAACCCAAAACATTTTGACCAGTTTCCCCTTTTTTATTTCATTTTTTTTTTTAAATCTACATTATTTATTGTGCCAAACATTGAAGACCAAACAGACATTCAAAAAGCCTTTCTCCTCCTGAACTTCCAGCCTCTTCCTGCTATAGAAATATTAGCAACTTTTTGGAAGCTAAGGGTCTCTATTCTTCACAGTGAAACACAATGACATCTTCTTTGACTTTTCATAGTGTTTTTTTTTATATTCACTCATTCTTTCAAAATTCATTTTTCAAAATGTTGTATTTTTTATTGATTTTGTTTAATATTTGTGTTTTATTGTTTTAAAGCAGTGCTAAAAAGTTGTTGACACTGTTTTTTAAACCTTTTTACAGATTGTCTAACTGTTTTTTTTTTTAGATTGAATTGAGAGACATTTCTTTTTTATTATTTGCTCCATATTTACAACTGCCTTCTGAGTGCAGATAACATTTATCTGTTTATACCTGGAGTTGATTTTGTTGCACTATTCTTGCATGCAAATAGCAAGTTTTGTAAATAAAAATTGAAAAGTAAAATTGCAATCCAGAAATTAAACTTCTGAAGAAAAAAAAAAAAAACTTGTCACATTTATTTTTTTTCCAATTTAATTTTTTCCTTTTTTTCAAAGTTCTATAAAAAAAAAAAACTTTTTTTCAATTTTAAAGTTTCAAATTTTTTTGTATTGTATTTTTTCCTTTTTTTTTTTTTTACACATTTTATATTTTCAATTTTTTTCAAATTTTGTTTTACAAATGTTATACTCTTTTCTTCAAGCCCAATACAAAAGTTCAAACCTTAACCAATAAAAATTAATGCCAATGAACCTTAACCAATAGAATTTAACATTTGTAAAACCTTTTTTCTTAAATCGGAAGGTTTTAAAAGTTTTATTTTAGGTTTTAATTTTTTTTTCTATTTACAAAACGTGTTCTTTGCAGCAATATTGGATCAAAATCCAATATCCAGCAGTCCCCAGACTGGTGACAATGCACAGAAATGTATTAATTTCAAAATGTGTTGTGAACAAAGTGAAATAAAATTTCTGTTTCATTAAAATCCTGAAATGTTAAATGTATATTTTGAGCAGCTTTTGATTAAAGAGATAATTCCACTATGGCAGAGAGTCTGTTTTTCAGGTTTAAAGGATGTGAAGACGCCAGACTGGGTGTGGAAGTGTGACATACCAGCCGTCCACCACTCCTGTTTGATTACATGTCATGTAACCAAGTCAACTAACTTTTCCACAGCAGGCCAGACTTGGTTCAAGCAGTTTTGAATTTTCAAAGCCTCTTTGCTTCATCTCAGAGTGACAGTAATTAAATGTCTTTCAACATCTGTTGATTGTTGTGATATTTATGGGCCAAATCAGAAGATGTCTCTTATATTTATACGTATACTCTCGCCAGTAGCAGAGCTGTCACTTTTCCACTATGTTTCCGAACGCAGAGCTGTCTGCATAGTTAGATTTCTTATCATACGTGGTGTGGGAAATCAGGCCGTGTGGATGGGTGTAGCATTAACCAGGTTTTAGTTAGCCCAAACTATGGTAGGACATGAATTTCAAAATCGTCTGGGATTTTACTCGACTGCAATCACTTGGTCGAGTCGGTCGCTCCGTCCCCGGCTGGCTTCGGAGTGGATGTGGGTCTCCGCCTGCTGTGACTGTTATCTATCATGGTTCTTGTTGTTCTGGAGCCCGGACCATAATGATATGAAAATCTATCTGGAGCTGTGACTATACTAAACTGTTAGGAATCCAGTTTGTGTGGCCTGTTTGTGTGTCTCCGTTTTCCACCACCAGGAGGTGCCCTGTCTTCGCTGTCCCTCCCTGCACACCTGCGGCTCGTTGGATCATTATCTGGAGGAGTATTAGAGCAGTGGACTGTCACTACCTCGACGCCAGAGTGTTTGCCAGTTTTGGGTACTCTAACCAAGCTGAGTTTAGCTGAGTCTAACCTAGCTTTGTTTCTCTGAGTCTAACGAGTTTTTGTCTTTGCTCACCGACAGGAAGCTTTCCTGTGTTACTGGACTCCTTGAACTTCTCTCCACTAGAAGGAAAAAAACGAGTTATACTGAGCAGGGGAAAACCTCCATATGTTCTGTTCAAATACCCATCGGAAATCTGAGTGACAGTCCCCTTTTTTACTCCTTCGGGTCCAGAGCTTGTCAACCTATCCACCCTCCAATATGTGCACCCTTCTCTGGATTTACCACACAGTCTGGATTCAGGGATTAACAAGACCCCCCTCAAAGATCCCCACCTAGCAAAATCTCAGAGCTTCAAAGATTCCCACGGTACCTGAACTGACCACTGAACTTCCCGTTCGGGGTCACCAGTTCACTTAGTTCCAGATCCAACTCCTGTCAACGCCTTCAATAAACCTGTTAAACTTTTGCCTTGTTCTCTGAGTGGTTATCTCAGCATGTGAGTTAGATTAGTAAACCAATCATGAAACTAAACTGTGCAACTATTTATGGTTTTGTGAAAAAAAACATTTCATAAAAAAAATAAACAATGCTTTGAGTCAGCTTTATTGCCATCAGGCACATTATTAAAGCTATACAACAGAGAAAATAAGCCAATGCAACTTTGGTATATTGAATCCAAATGATGCTGTGAGAGAACATTTGACTTCACTGATGTCACAGCTGGGGATCGCTAGAGGCACCCAGCATACTGTAAAATTCCATAAATTTTTATTATTTGGAGCACTTTTAGCATGATTAAGACCAGACACATAGAGAAAAGAAAGGATAATCTTTTTATCACACAAAATAAAACTGCTCTAGACACACTCCTTTCTATTTGACCTTTAAAGTGTAGCAGTGCTCAAAGGTAAACATTGTCTGAGAAAAAACATGGTGCAAAAAAAAAGCATTGATATGGTTAGTTTGATGCAGAGTCTGTGACATGATTTACAGATTTTTTCAGTATTCAGCAGTCTTATGGAGGTGGGGAAGAACCTGTTTGGGAATCTGCCGGAGAACAGTCCATGGTGGGGGTGTGAGGGGTCATTTGTGATGGTGCACCCCCAGGAATGTGGTGCTGCTGACCACCTCTACAGCTGAGCTGTTGATGAGCAGTAGAGCGTGGTTAGGCCAATTTTTCCTGAAATCAACGATGATCTCCTTCGTTTTCTTCACATTCAGGATCAGACTGTTATCTCTGCACCAGTTTACCATCTGCTCCACCTCCTCTCTGTAGTCCTGGTCATTGTTGTCTCTGAAGAGGCCCACCACGGTGGTGTTGTCTGCAAACTTCACGATGAGTTTGATGGTGAACTTGGGGACGCCGTCATATGTCATCAAGGTGAACGGCAGGACATAGCCCTGAGGGGAGCCTGTTCTTAGGGTGATGACATCAGAGGTGTTCTGTCCAACCCGAACTAACTGAGGTCTGTTTGTGAGAAGGTCAAGCAGGCTATTGCAGTGTGTATTGAAGCCCAGCTGTTCTAGTTCTCCTATCAGATGCTGTGGGATGATGGTGTTGAAAGCTAAACTAAAGTCCAGCAAAGCATCCGTAAGTTTAGTTAGCGTTACTACCGCCCATTGACATGTTTCAGATGTGTTGCATTTATGAAAAGCTGACAGACTAATGATTTTTTTCTCCATAAAATAAAGCCAAAGTTTTTTTCTTTGTTGTTTCTTTTTTTTTTTCTTTTTTTTTTTTTACAATTTCACCATAAGATACATAAAATTATAACACATGTTTTATATGTGTTCTTCTACATAACTTATTCTGCACTTTGATCTCAGTATTCTCTAAGTCTAGCTATGGTGCTGCTCCTATCATGTTCACCAGTTAGGCTGGTTTGTGCAGTTCTACAGATTTGCCTTGATTTTATTCCAGGATTTACAATGGCTTATTGTTAGAAGGCCCCACGAACTAAAACGCTGGAAGAGCAACCAAAAGGAGGCATAGAGAGGGTTGAAAATGACTAAAAATCAATGGAAGTCCATGGGAGTCAACACACGGTCCTCACTACGTATAGCAGAACAAGTATGTGTGTGTTTGTGTGGGACGGGTAGTCACATATTGTTAATCTTCCTTAACTTGTGCTCTACATATGAAGCTGAGTCTTAAAATGTTACGTCACAACTGTATAATAACACCTGAGATGTGTGTCCTTGTCTCCTGCTGCAGGCAGCACATATCTCACTGCAGTAATCCCAGAGGTACCGATGTTCTGTATAAAGCTGAGGATGCATCTTCATGGTACCACTGAATTATAAAATGGAACACATGAACTCAGTATCTATGCATAAAATACCTCCTATTAATAACTGCAAACAGACGCCCTCATCATGTTGCAGCAGCTTCTTTCGACTGGTCTGCTGCAGCACTCAGTCTTTCTGCAGCAAAGACCTTTTTTTTTATTGCAGTTTTGGAAAGCTTCCCACTGCTGCTGCATTGATTCTCCAGTGGAGGGGCGTGCAGAGGAGAGTGGTGAGTCCGCATCCTGAACAAACCGCCTTAGACCAATGCTAACGTAGCATCTGACAACAGTCTACTTCCCTTAACTATTATGTCATAGAGTTATGATAAAATGAAAGTAGTCTAGATAGTTTTCTTCATGTGTTTCTTATCCCTTCATTCTGTGTTCTGATTGTATTAATAGATTAAAATAGATCAAAATGATTCAGATCTGCTATAAATGAAATGAACAGTTCTGACATAGTTAAAAAAAATGCAATTAATAAAAAATAGTTAAGATAAATGCTAGAAATATGGGAGTATTTTACTAATCTCTGTGTAAATAGACTCATAGTCAATTTACAATTTTCAATAGTCACTGTTTTTCTAAAACGGAAAAAAAAAAAGTAAATCATTCTTTTTTGCAGGCTGGTCACTGCAAAACTTTTCCTGGTGTTACAGAAAAAAGTTTCTCAGCCATCCAGAAGGTTTAATATCTTATCATGGGCGGTTAGAGACAGTGGCCAATGGGGGCCTTGGCTCCTCTTACGGTCCCTGTACTGAATACAGATTACTAGATCAGTTTTTTATATTGAAATGATTGAACAATTCATAATTTCATTTCTCAGACAATTATGTTTACCAATCTTCTTTGTTAAATGAACTAGTTTCAGATGCATTTTTTTCTGTTTACATTTGTTTAACTATTTTGTGTGTTAATAGTGATTTAAATAAAGCTGTTGTACTATTAGCTTCTGCCATATTGAAAAAGGATTACAGTTTTTATCTGCCAGACCAGGGTGTTGGTCTAAAACCTGCAGCTCCAGAGCCGCTGTAGGTACCAGATCTGCTCGGTGCCCCGTCCCTTCTTATGACGTCATCATATGGCAATGCCAGTCAGAGAAACTCTTTCTTCAGAATCAGATCTCTTTTTGAGTCCCTGCATATTATTACTCATGTTATTATATTATATCAAATTTCAGTGGCAATCTAAAGGAGTGTAAGGTAGAAAACAATCTTTCACAGTCTTGAAGGACTGCGTTCTAAGACAGACTGAGCTCCGCCATTTAACAAAGTGACACAAAAAGTCTCAGATTATTTTTATGCTTCTTATTAAGATCTGAGGCCAGAGAAGTATACAGTAACAGACGTCCCCCTATTTCCAGGGGCAGCCCCCATTTTGCACTAAAGCTGTCCCCGGAAATATCCCAGATTTTACGTTTTTATTAATGAGGGGTGGAAAATGTTGTGTGTAGACTGTTATTATGGCACCAGGAATGCGTGAGCATGTTGGCGCACAGACTCAGCTGTTAGCTAGTTGATTGGCAGCTGTTAACGTATAGATGAAAAGCAGAGTACGTCACTTTTAAAAAAGACGAGGAACTGGTTGCAGCTGCCCTGTGTTATGGTGAGTGTGTTAATCGGTTTATTTGACATGGGCTGATCATTGCAGTAGATGTTTGGTCCGTGCCCAGGTTAATAAAAAAATTGGGCTTCGATGTGTTTTGTTTTTTTAAAGATGAGGACCAAAAATGTAACATAATCCAAGCTTATCACCAAAAATTAGGACAGACCATTGGCTGCAGCTGGTATGATGAAATAGGCTCAGAATGAACAGAATGATCGAAAACTCCTTGCAAGGTGCTAATCTGGTTCAGTGGTTCTCCAAGGATTAACAAGGGTTCATCTGAAGATGTTTTTAGAGCTGATCGGTAATTTTTATTTTATTTTTTCAGATATTTTGTTATTGTAAGTAGAGTTATAAGTAGTTTTACCGTTTTATGGTTGTGGTATGAGCATAGACTTCCAGGCTTAGGTCTACTTTTCTCCCACTCATATTTGGTATATTAAAGTTCTGCATTATAAAAAATATGAGGCAGTAAAATGAAAACTGAACAAGACAAGATCTGCATGATCTGAGAATGATGGAGGAAGAGATAACCACCTGTTTAATGTTCATTTATTAGGTCGTTTGTATTTGTAGCTGAATTTTGTAGTGATAAGCCTTTTTAGTGTTTAATCAGGTGAGACAACAACAACAGTAACAATAATAATAATCACCTCATCACAATAATCATATGTATGATGAGATTATATGTGTTTGGAAGGGATTTTGATTGTATTACGTCCATGTTTTAAATTAGTGTTAAATTGATAGAAGAGGAGAAGAAGAAGATTAGAAGACTGATAGAAAGAAGATTGAATGAGAGCAGAGGAAAATATGAACACTGATGGAAAGATCAGTTGAAGTGAAGAAAGTAAAATCTACTTAGAAGAGTTAAGGCAGGCAGAAGTCGGGTAGAAAGAAAGGAAGATCAAGAGAGAAGCAGACAGAGAAGACTGAATGATCAGATTGCACTAATAAACACTATTAGTTGTTTATTTTGATTAAGCTTATGTAATAGGAGAGGCACATTCCTGGATTGTTTTTGTTTGTTTAAATATTATCATCCATCCATCCATCCATCCATCCATCCATCCATCAGCACAGCAGATATAGAAAAGTCAGAGTAACATAGATTCAAATATAAGACAGAAAATCAGGTAATTTAGGAAGTAAATATATGACAACAGGAACAACATATCTTTGCCCTATACCTGATAGGCAGATACCGTGTGGTCAAGATAATATTCAGATACTATAATATTTGCCAGAGGTGCAAATAACAACTCATAAAAGCAATTTTAATTTAAGACACGTGCATGTGAACTACTCTACATGTGCATTTTGAACATTGTATCAGGGTAGATTAAATGCCAACATATCACCAGTCCATGCTCCTTTTGGCTCTTTTTCTTTTTATGCACCAGTAAATTCTCTCCTGTTCTCTTCTCATCTACTTTCTCTATATTTCCTGGCCTCATATTTTGTATTTGGGATATGTATTTGCTAATTTTTAATTTGTATGGGTAAATGTCATGATTCTCGGCACCAGTGCTGGTTTAATTTATCATTCAACACACCTGTCAGCTCCACCCTGTTCCCAATCAGCCTTCATCATATCCACCTGCCCTCCTGATTATATAACCAGCTCTCAGACCAGTCACTAGTTCCAGATTATTACAAGCCATTGGTGAATTTAATCCAGCATTAATGTTACTTGTCTGCCTGATTATGACCTGATTCTACTTCTTGATTTTCTGAGCTTGCTTGATCCCTATCAGACCTGTCATGGTGTCCTTTTTAGGATCCCTGACCTGTTTTCTGTGCCCCAACCTTATTTCGGGATTCTCCCCTGAATTTGCTCTGGGTCTCGGATCAGCTGGCTTTGACTCCGGATCGGCTCTTGGATTCTGTACTCTAGTTTGTCCTCTTTGATCATGATGCTTTCATGGATCTGACCCTGTGTGTTCCCCCTGGACCAATGAGTAACTGTCAAAGCAGGATTCCTCCTAACCAACCTGGATGGATTCAGAAATCCTCAGAGGTTCAACAGTGATGTCATTCGCCAACCACCTTCTTCAGAAACTCAAAGTTTGTCCCCAAAACACTGAGAAAGTTAGGGAACCAGAATTCAACATTAGAAATTGTAATCAATAATTCCTGAATTTGCTATTTGTACTGATATATTTGGGATTTGTTTTAGTTTGTTTGTGGTCTGTTTTTACAATTGTGTTATTTGCCCTTATAATGTTTTGAAGCTCTAACTTTCTAACTGGTATTAATACATGTTTTCAACAGATGAAGAGCATATGTTGCTTTGACATGAAATCACGAAACAAAATTAAATCCTACATTTATTTACATAAGTGACTTGCCTTTACACAGTCAGACATCTATGAATTTATTTTGACTGTTATCTCACCTCATAATGTTAATTGAAAGTTTTGCCTGCATCTTTCAAAGTAGTCCAGCACTGCCTCTCTGCCTGGACATTTTGAGCCTCCTTTGTCCCTTACCCCATGCCCAATTTTCTAGCTCTGCCACTGTGTCCAGATCATCAATTTCCCCTTTTCACATCACTTGTTTCCAGAAACTTATCTTTTCTCCTAATATTTTTACCAGCCAATCAGAATTTTGTTTTAATCAAGGTGCACAGTGATAATGTTGCCAATCAAAAGATACTCAGAGGTTTGTAGCTAGAATCATGAGGAATTTACCATGGAGCAAAGAAAAAGCTGTCCTGTCATCCACTGAATCTGCCGAGTAATGCTGGAAATGCTGATTATAAACATAAAAGTGTTTTTTCAGAAAAAAAGGGAGAAAACTATCTACATTTTTGACCCTCCTGCTGTATGTCTCATGCTGAAGTAAGAATGAAAGTACAAGTGTATGAATTGGGGTGCGTCCCGGACACAACACTGAAGCTGAACCACACACCCTCCTCTCCGAGCAGCACTGCAGACTTTTACCTGTTATTCAAAGCACTCAGCAAAGGCTGCCCCCCCCCCCCCCCCCCCCCCAAAATCTGACAATAGAAGGTAAGGCAATGGGAGAGAGTTGGGTGGGGAAACTGGGGCAGTTTGAAGAATGGGGAACCAGACAAGTGGGGATGGCATGCAGCCAGCAAGAGATGACAAGCAAAAAAAAACCCATAAGCATCTAAAGGGAAGATGCTGGGATAGATGCAACTTGCTGAGGTCCTGCACAGGGATGGAACCCTGTATCCCTCCTGTCTGTCTGCACTGCTGAACCTCCCACCCCCCCTAGGTCTCTCCTCCTTGATTGTCTCCCCTCCTGGCTGGCACTGCAATGTGGCTGTCTCTGCAGTGAAAGTGCTGGCTGGCAGTTTCTCCTTGTGTGAACCCTGACTCTGCGCAGTGAGAGTTTGCCGCTGTGCTTCCGTCCCGTCCCACACTGACTCAGCTGTGAAGCCAGCCGGCCGGCCACAGGAGCAGGTAGGCACAGACCTAAACTCTACTGTTTTGCTTTAGAGAACAGAAAGGAGCTGTTACTTTAAGGCTTTCTATTTTTTTTTTTGTACATTATGGAAAAGTTTTAACATCGCACTGAAATATTTTTTCCTTTTTTTCCCCACATTTTTCTGCTGTTTCTCCTCTTTATCTTCTGCCCTCTGCCTGATCTACAGCATTTCCTCCATGAGTGCATCTGTAGGTGTTAGAGAGACTTTCGAACTACAGCAGCTTTTTGTTTGGGACTCCAGATTTTACCCTCACATCTGGAAAGCAGAGTTTGTCTGAAGGGAATTTCAGAATCAAAAAGAGCCAGGGCTGGATCTTTGTCTCAGACAAAGCCAGCTGCCATGGAGGTACGGTGGATTGGGGTTGAACCCTCCAAGCTTGGCTCCCCATACGCAGCCTTCACTTTGCTGCTTGGTAAAGTCTGTCTTCATTATATTATCTCCTCTCTCTATGTTATGTGATACTTCTCTGGTTATTTCTTTTCTGTATGTGTCCCAGAATTCTCCTAATTGTACAGTGGTGTGAAAAAGTGTTTACCCTTTTCCAGATTTTTACTCATAGAGTAATGAGTACAATCCACTTTTTCCACTCAGAGTGAGACAGAGTGTTTTGGGTTGTTTTCCTGCCGTGGTCACCAGCAGAGGATGTTTTGGTGAACAGCTGAATTCATTGGTCTATTTATCACAGCCTTTCTGAAACAGCAACGGGGCCCTGAACATCATATTACCTCCACTTTACTTATATGCAGTTGGAACAATGTTGTTTGTCTGAAACCTGGTGTTATTATGAGAAAAACTTTCCATAATCTTCAGCTTTTGACTCGCCAGTCTACAGAATATTTTATTCCTTCTCTGTTCTTAATCTTTTTTCTACTTCTGGTCTTGGATCTCTGCCATACAGCTAATTTATGGCCAGTGTCTTTTTGATGATGGAGGCATAAACTCTGACCATAACTGAGGCCTGCAGGTCTTTACATGTTGTTGCTGCTCCTTTGTGCCCTTTCTGAGGAGTCTTCCCTGTGTCCTGGTCTCTTGTGGGGGACCACCACTGTTCCATGTTTTCCCCATTCATTGATAATAGTTCTTACTCTGGTTAACTATGGAAGACCAAAAAAGTCAATGAAAAGGATCTATTCATTTAAAATTTAAAAATGTTATCTTATAATAAAAAATCCCTTATCAAACATTTAAAAAGGTCATTTCTTTTTTCATTTTCATATATTTTTTTTACCTTGAAGTTTCCAGTCCTTGATGTTATAGCATTTCTGGTTTCCATTTCATATTTCCATGTATAAACAACAACATATTTGGTTGCAGCCTATTAATTGTTCCCTGCACATTATCGTCATCCTTTCTTTTTTAGCTTTTTGTGAACCGTTTTAATAAACTTTTCATAAGCTGTTTCTAAAGGGCTATTTACTAAACTGGTTAAGCTAAAATAAAACGGTTGATAAGATGAGGCTAAGCCATTAATACATTTAAACTAAACTGTTAAAGGGCTGTAGCTAAACTGTTAATAAGCGAGGTTTAAACAGTTTTGAAGTTTCCATTCTTTATACAAAAAAAAAAGTTGAACTGTTTTCTATCCTATGCTGACTAGTTTAGTATCTATTATTTGAAAATGCTTAGTTTCAGTTTGTTTTTTATTAGCTTCAGTTATAGTGTCTAGTATGTAATATGATATGTCAGGGTCAGAAAAATAGAAATAAAATCCCAGGTGACAAATGACCTGACTGCTGTAACTGCCATCTACTGGCATAATAAAAAAAATTAAAAAAGCAACCAAAAACTCTACATCAACTTTATATTAATGCATTATGATACACAGACACAAACGAAAACTAAGCACATTAGCTTTGTAAACTTTAATTCCTGACTCAGTTAGTTTCGGCTTTTTAGCAAGGTGTAGTTTTTACTTTTAATTCAATAACTGAATTTTTTTTTTTTTATTCCAGTTTTTTCATTTTGTTAGTTTCAGTTAACGAAAATAAACAAGCTGTTGCAATATTATATAATAGACTGAAAAATACAATTTACAATTCCTCTTTAATGATTTTATATAAAATTTACTATAATCAAACAGTTTAATTAGGATTCATAAATGTATGATTTAAATGTTTAATTTGTAATAGTTGTTTTTTTTCCCACTGGCTCTCCTGGTCCTCCATAGTTTGATGGAGTCAAAAGGTTTAGAAATAGCTTTACACCCATTTCCAGTCCAATAAATGATCTAAATTATACTGTAGACCAGAATACTTAACCAGAATTCAAACATTTTGAGGTACCCAGCTGCCTCAGAAATTACTTTTTTTATTACGTTTTATTTAGGTTTAAATGATTTTTCTGGTGGATTTGTTTGCAGCAATTTATTCATTAGTTTTTGTGTTAGGTAAAGGTTAAAAGTTTTATTTAAATGATACAAAAAATAAGAATGCCCCCATGGCAACATAACAAATACATAAAATTAGGCAAGTGTATGTATTCAGATAAAAAACACTAAATGCAAAATAAAGTATTAAATAAATAAACCTTCATATTAGCCAAATTAGGAGATCACTGATATTAATAATTTAAGAGCAAGAAGCGCCATTTCTCTGAAACAAACAAAAACTTGGTACCCAGCAGAATTAAGCTGTACCCATTAGCCACTCCCATTGAAAACTAGCCGGCCAATGGGATCGTATTTACAAAAACTGCACATGTAGGTCTACTTCTTTATTGGTTCAGATGTTTTTTGTGTGGTGAATTAAGTTATACTTAATTGGGACGCTAAAATATTTCAGTTGAACCAAAGTTTTAAGTTAAATGTACTTAATAAACAAGCATGTTACAGTAACTCGACACATTTCAGTTCAAAGAAATTTTACAAAGTGATTTACTGTAATTACGTTCAACATTAAGGGTTGTTTTTGAATTTCTTTTAATCTCAGCATGATTTCCGGCTTTAGAGGATGTTTTAGTTAACTTCAGGCCGGGTGTAGCTAGAGAAAATAGAATCACACTGAGCCATTTAGGTTTGGATTTTTTTTCCCTTCATAATGAAAACTTATATTTAAAAACTGCATGCAATGCTTTTGTTGTCTTTCACTAGTATTTTGTTTTTTGATCATCTTAAATAATTAAATGCAAAACATAAAAAAAAACGGCAAAGAGTTTTTTATTTGCTCAATAAAAAAGCCCATTGAGAAAAAAAATCAAGGTCATCTGACCATGAGAGAAACATTTATACGTTTTATACACATACCTTTGAAATTATGTTTTCTTAAATATGTCCTTAAACTTACTATTTGCAGCTGGAATATTGCAAAAAATCTCCCCAGGACCATTATTTACTAGAATAACCACCTACGTTCATATTTCCAGGATTAGTACCGTATATTGGATTAAACGCAATAATGACATGATAAGTGAACTTTATGTTGCAGATACAAACCAGTACAGGAGCTATTTTTATTGCCCAGGTGCAAAAAAGATCTGTGCACTAAAACGCACACATTTGAAGAAGCAGCTGTTTAAAAAGGTGAAACTTTGCATCTTCATTTGGGTATTAAAAGCACACCGTGTAACTATTGGCTACTGGGGGTGTAAGACGTGTAACTTTCACATCTGAGGTTTCATGTCTATGCAAGTAAAAACAGTCACCCTGCAAATTACATAGAAGAAAAATCAGCGAAGCAGAATCATGGGCGTCCAAGATTACCACTGCTTTGTTCTACTGGTTTTCTTTTATGAAATTAGGAATCTGTCTTTTTTGTGGAATGTCTGAGATTTATACATTTAGGCTGTGGGGTTCTGGTAGCTTTTGTGTGTAGCCTGCTAGCTTTGTCTGTCTGTATTTTGCTTCTAATAAACATCAAAAATAAAAATATCTGACTGTATACAAAGTTTTAACTTACCAGCCTAATAATAGAATTGAGAAAAGAGAATTGGTTACTTCTTTCAGCCTGCTCCAAGGAACAAACTCCTCTCCATGTTGGTCTCTTGTTTTTCCTCACATGCAATCCCTTTCCTGTTTTCTCTTTTTGGCCTCCTCAGAAGGTTTAAACTGTTTCCTTGCCTCAGTAGTCAAGCAGGCGAAAAAAAATAGTAAAGTAAAAGCCTTAGCTCCATGACGATATAAAAGCCTGTGGCATTACAGCGATACGTTCTTCCAGGTCACATAACCTGGTCAACGACGGTGCATCTTCTCCCAACTTACACAGTCATTATTTTAAGAGGGAAGCCCCATTGGTAGCGTTGATAGTGTCAAGCGCTGTATAGTGGCCTGAGGAATCATTTAAAATAACTAATATGTGCCAACTCTTTAGGTCACAAAGTCCATGTTGTGACTTTAAGGGTTTTTTCAGAGTTGTTTGTCATCTTACTCAAGGTAATGGCTTCCTAGCTGTCTGAAATGGAAAAACCGGGGTATAAAGGAATTTATCCTAGAACTGAACTGGATTACTAATAAGCCTGCTTTGAGAGATGAGGCCTGCTGTCAGCTATTTTTAAAATGTCCTTAAAACAAAAACATTGAAAATGTATATTGTTTAACAAAGGATACTATTACTGATAGTACTACTACTACAGTATGAGCTTTTTGTTGTTGTCCCTCCTCTTTAGATTTGTTCAGTGAGATGACTGGCTGTCTTTGCAGACAATAAATGCCTGAAGGACAGTGCTGTTGCCTTTGTGTGTTGATTCACATTTACAGATATAACAAAACTCACAATGATTATTTATTTCCGATTCCATTTCATTTCAGTTTTGTCTTTTTAAATAAAGAGAGAAAAGCAGAACAGTGTTGCCCTAGTTTCTGGCCTATATGTAAACTAAACTCCTTTCCTGGCAGCTAAATGAAGTGAATTTCAGATTAAAAGAGCTACAGTGCACCTTCTACCTTCTTTGAAAGATGAAATAAAATGAGATATAACTGTTCTATAACTTCCCTCTTCATAACTTTATTCCATATAAAAACGTTTATATCAGGCAGAAATAACCTCAATGACAACAAACTGTAGATTTTAATCAAAAATTTGGTTTGTTAAGTGAAAAGGTTATTGGAGCAACTTTGTTGATTAATCCAAAGAAACTGCAACTAACTCTGCATGTTTGACACATGAGCTCCACATCACCAGCCCAACTCAGCCTGAGAGGTGAAAGGAAGAACTAATGCATCTTGACCCAACCTAAAGACATGAAAATGTTTTGAGAAAAGTAGCCACTGGTATCAGGCCCCCATTTCATGAACAGGGTGGTAACTCAGAGTAAATTTTGGGGTATATTTCCTGACTTTACCATTTCAGTAAGCGCGGAACCCGATACCCGGAGTAGAATTATGACCAATTAGTCTAAAAACCCTGCTCTGCAGCAGGGCTGTTTGGACCAACCCTGAGGGTTTCCTGCTTTTTGGCTGATATTTGAATAAAGGAAGTGTTGGAAATGTTTCCTTTTTGTACAAATTTGAAATACAAATACCCTGAACATATCTCCATTCGAAGATGGTGATTACAGAACGATTAATGTTTTCCAAAGGAATATCTCCTGTTTCATTCCTTCTGAGGCGGGGTCCAGGAGTCCTGTCACATCTTGAGGTTTGCTCAGCCAGCTCCTTGGCTGCCTTGGCTAAGCTCCTTTCCTAAATGCTGCAGTGTTCGCCTGCTGGTAACCTTGGCTGTGCTGTTTGTGTAACATGGAGACACAAAACACAGAGGAGAATCACAGGAACCTTGGGAACAGTGCAGAGGGTGTTATGGCTGCTCTGTTGGTCTTATCACTGCTCATACCTTCCGTCCGTCCTTCCTCTGCTGAAAGTTAACCACTGAGAGCTAAATGTTGAGGTAGAACATGCTGAAATAACAGAAGGTCGAAGAAAAAAAATCACCTTTCTTCGTCTTTGGTGTCTTTTTTTATTTTACCATATTTATTTTCTCCAACTTTTGTGAAGGCAACACTGCTACTTCCTGGAGTCGCCTGACCTTCATCTGCAGTGTAGAGTTACCCCTCTCCAGCACAAGCAGATTCAATGCTTTGTTTTTGACAGTAATGTCACTGCAAGGACACAATGGTGTTGAGTTACTGAGGCTTTAAGTTTATGGACGTTATAGTGGATGTAGGAAAAGAAGGAGTTCTGAAACTCTTTTAAGCATTGCTCAGCACAAAAAAAATGTTTTTGTCTCTAACTAATATCCAACATTTCTACACATCAGTACATTTCAGTGAGTAATGTGAAACAGCCAGTTAGAGCAGAGAATGGGATTATAAAAAGAACACAAATAAAGAAAATGCTGATTACATTTTAAATTAAAACAAAGTAATGTAAATAAAGTGCAAAAAAAAACAAAAAACAAATCAATTATTTATAGGCCGGGAAATTTAAACTGACCAAATATTGTATGAGCTAGGATAACTGTCAATAAAAGCATGTGCAAAGGAGTATACATATGTAAATAAAAGTCAATAAAGATACCTGAATTTAAGCTGCGTAGATTAGTGTGGTCAGCTCCTACTTCCACTTGACATTAAATGTTCCATTTGTCAGAATATAAGGTTGGAAGTAAAAAAAAAAATACAAAGTTACAAAGTTAAAACTTTGAAAAATACAGGTACAGATCACAACTTGGCAAAAAATAAATCCCACTTTTACGAGTGCAGATATATAGCACCTGTTTTAAAGCTGTTATATTTCTAATTAGTTGATGGTGGTATTGGACCTTACCCAGAAAAAAAAAAAAAACGTTCCAAGTTTTATGAAAAAGTTTTTGAACAAACTCTGTGGCCCAAATATACTGAAGCTCCACACAACTTTAAAGCGAAGCAGCATTAGTTTTTTATTTATGGTATACATTATTTGAAGTCAATTAAAAACTCTTCTGTTCTGCTTTGCTTTTATGTCATGATGTTTCTTTTGTTGTATGTTTTATATCTTATTGTAATTGTTTTATATAAATCTTTGTGACTTTGTGTCTTTAACTTATAATGCAATGCTTCAGTCTGTTATGAAAATTAATATTTTCTGTTCTAGAGGTATTGCTTCAGTTCTCAGTGCTCACAGTCTTCAGATATTTATCCCTTATAAACCTTGGAAATAGGTGAACATTGATCAAAAACCTCCTTTTATATTGATCCAATCAATGACATTCAAACAGGGATTGTCCAAAACAAGGTTTGTTTTTTTCAGAAATTGTGAGTTGCTACAATCCAAAATATCCTTTTGATTTTTACTTAGAAATATAGTAGATAGTTTTGTTATTGAAAACCAAAGATCTAACATTCTGTCATGTGTATCTCTCTCAATTTTGTCGTTTTTATTGCTCTCCCAGGTGTTTGGTCTGCTCAAGGCCTGGAAATGTCCGTGGGGAAAATCCCTTTCTTGCAAGCGGTAAACGGCAGCACAGTCATGCTGCCTTGCACTTACGCCAGCTGTATCGGCATCAAGGACCTCTACTTCAACTGGCAGTACAACGACAATGGCACAATGCAAAAAGTAAAACCATTTGGTCCTTTGAAACATTTCCACGCAGCTTTCGGTTATGCTTTTTATACAGCTGCCTTCACTCTGAACCCTTTAGGTTTGTGAAGCTGTGATACCAACAGAGGACGTGGTACCAGATGTGCAAATTCACAAAGAAAGAGTGGAGTTTATAGGAAAGAACAACAAAAATAACATCTCCATCTTAATATGGAACATCACTTTCGAGGATGGAGGCTATTACACATGTTTTGGGAAGAATCCAAAAGAGAAGAACAAGAACCACAGTGCAATATTCCACCTTATTGTGGTGGACGAGTGTAAGTCCAAAACACTTTCAGCTGATTTAAAGTGTAGCGGTTTGCTACAGCAGATTAATAAAGAAACAAAATAAGAAAAAAGAAATTTATTGGCTCACTTTGATCAAACAAGGTAAGGAAAATAGTACAGAAATCAGTGCTGAGGCTATCACAGACTGATACACCATGCATGCACCAAAAGAGGCCTGATCTCTGGGGTATTCCAGCTTTTAAACTAACTTTACTCACTTCCTGTCTAATGCTGAGAACGTCCTTAGTGAGTAAGTGAAACAGAAACTACCCTTTGCCACAAAAGGAACTTTTCTGTTAACGACACATTTCCCATCAACATGTACTCTATTGGTAAGTGGCTTTTATCCACTTAGAGAAACAAAGTGTAAATTCTGAAAAAAAAAAAATGTAACAGCTGCATTTGCATAATTGTTACCTGTAAATAAAACAATAAAATACAAACTGGCCCATTTTTAAGATAAAACAGTCTTTATTGATGCTCCAGTGATATGCAGGTAAAAAGTAAACCAGAACATGCATCTTTTAAAGGTAAAAACAAACTGGGCCACATCTAAGTGGACAGTTGAATGTAGAATGATGAATTTCATCAGACCAGAGATGAAAATGATTTTTTTTTTTTTTTTTAAGCAGGTGTTCATTAACTATAAAAGTGTGTAAAATAATGCATCATCTGAAGGATTCAACTCCATGATTTTCTAAGCATGTCTTTGTTATAAAACTCATATAATATGTTTAAATGTGAATGATTTTCCTCCCCGTTTGTTAAATCTCCATAGTGAGGGTGGTGGACAACACGCTGACCATTCTTATAGCCTCGGCTGTAGGGGGAGCCATCGCGTTCCTGATGGCCTTCATGTTACTCAAGAACTTAACTCTCTTTGTTCTTGCCAAACTTGAGGAGAAAAAGTAAGTTATAAGTCCCTGGTACTTTAAAGACAGTGAAAATGTTTCATTTTATTTCATCACATACCACCACTGCTGCTGCAGCTGCTTGGTGACGCTTCGGTTGAAGCTCTATGCATGCTTTCTTTAAGTCGTTCTCTTAAAGATAAAAGTTTGCCTTTGGGCTGCTGTGATCCTGCAAATCTAATACCACCTCGTTTTTTCCGCTTTCCTCTCGCAGTAAAGAGTGCCTTGTGTCCTCGTCAGGGATTGACAACACTGAGAACGGCCTCCCAGCATCCAAAGCTGATTCTAAACCAACTCCCAAAAAGAAATGAGGCAGGGCATGTTAAACTACACAAGTACTCTGATTTAGGACATATTGCAGATATTAATATGTGCAAATGGGTTTGAAATGTCAGTATGTTTAATTTAATAACTTTTGTGGTGAGGTTTGAATGGGAATACATACTTTTGCACACAAGGACACCAAATGTGCTCTAAGTGGTGGAAATGATATACAGCTTACAATAGTGCAAGTAGTGAATGCTCAACATGTCCACATCATTGGTAAACAGTAGCTGTTCATGGCTTCAATAACATATTAAGTAGAGTCACATAAGGAACAAAACTTTATTGCCAATAATCCTGGGGAAAACTTCTTCCTAGAAAGAGTAAAATCAGATCTAACAAAACTAATTAATGGTAGAAATTATGAGCTGAAACTCATTGTCTCTTAAATGTGGTCATGATTCTACTTCTACTATTAATTGGTATTATTATTATTAATGTAGTAATCAGATCATTCCCTACAGCAGGGGTCACCAGCCTTTTAAGGCTGAGGGCCACTTCATGGGTATGAAGTCATCAGAAGGGCTATCAATACTGAGCTATGAACAGTAGGGGACAGTGTTCGCCCAAACTGCATATATAACAAACATATTTTTATTGTTTCATTCAATTTCTAATTTTCTTTCAGATAATGTCATTGTGAAACCCCTGAAATGCTTTTTATGATTACTGATATATTACTAGCCCACCTTGCTGTCACCACTCCCGTCTCTTTTTCAACAATTAGGGACTCACTTCCAGGCATTTGGTAAATGTTGCTAATTGTTTAACTTTTTACCTATTGTGTCTGAGGCCAGAAAACCATGTAAAGCAAACTGTGCCTAACTGCTAATGTTGCTAAAGCTACATCCAAATGAATGTGCATAAACACAAGTCAATTTCTTGTGTGTACCCTCACAAGAAAATGGGAAGTTTTTTGGATGAGCTCTCTTTGTTTTTCTTCCTATTAAAAAGTGATTAAACATGAACTCAAATACAGTTTTAAAAGTATTGTAGATGTAAAATATGTCAGCAGGGCAAACTCACCATCGTTTGATGATGCATTCACAGCTAATTGGCCAAATCCTCCACTTCATCAGGAGTATTTCCTGTTTGTTGCCTGACTTTTCCTGTTTGGGTTATTAATTTAAGGAGGTGCACAGAGTCAGCTGAGCGTAAGCCAATCAGCAATCTCCCCAAAATAGGGAAATCAGGGCAAATGATTGATGCAGCCCTATAATGATTCGTGAAATAAAGTCTGTTTTTTTATGACATGTCCTCTTAACAGTTTAACGGCTTATAAATAAGCTGCAGCTTCCTAGTTTAACCCAGTATTATGATAACTAATCATAACAATCAGATCAAAGGAATCTAGGCATGATCGGTTGCACAACAGTAAACAACTTCTTCGCACCATGCAGACATTTAAGTCTTATAATTAGGTACGTTTAGTCCGATGCAAACAAGGCCTTTTGTTAGATGCTCTCCTTTCTTTATGACGTGGGATCTCTCATTACTACATCTGTACTTGTGCCTCCCCTTTCAGCTCTAATGTTAGCGCATGCTAACTATGTCATACATCTGAGAACATATGTGACTTATGCTGCAAAGTTTGCAAAGGACTTCAGATTCATAAAACATGAAATTTAGCTGAAGTCAGGGTCTGCCGACAGCGTCCACCGACTAATAGGATCTAGTTTAAGTGTACAACTCTGTTAATCATCAGTATTTTTATACACAAAGTAAGTTATTTATTTAGTGTATGTACAGTAAATAGGGCTTTAAGCAGTTCTAATGCAAATATCCTCCAGTATTCTACTATTCAGCCTGTTCTTCATTTCATATCTTCTCTTTGCTTGAAAAAACACATGTGCCTGTTGAGGGGTATAAACTAGATAGCTGATTATTGCAAAACAGTTTTTAAACCTTAGTAAACTGTAACAAGACTATTAGCTTTTAAGTTGCATTGGTCGACAATCTCCATAGACAATCTGCCAGTTTCTATAGAGAGATGATTGCTGCTTTTAAAATAAATAACTGATCCAATATTAGCATGAGCAACATGGGCCAGATTTTAGATCTGATGCTTAAATGGAAAATAAAATAATAAAATATACATTAAGAAACTATATTCTCACAGAAACACCAGTAGTGTCAAGACCGAGGATGATTGTAAACCCGATAGAAACTATGCTAATCCCCTAAAACAGACATTTTCCTTCCCTTACACTTAAATCTGTTGGTTACAAACTAACCAGTTGACGTAATGCTGCTTGCTCTATTAAATATGCTAAATGCATAGAGGATTTTTTATTTGAGTCTCCTTAGAGCTAAACCAAAACCTGTGCTGCAAACTTTACTGAAAAAAAAACTCTAGCCTCTGTAGGATCTAATTAAGCTTAGCGATTTAACTTATTGCTTCATATAGTTAGGGAATGTAATAATATTGTGTAAATACTACATAGTAAGGAATATTTTTGTATTTGCATGTTTAATTTAACTGGATAAAACTGAATGAATCGATTCAAGTTTACTGTTGTGAGCAGGTATCCTAAAATGCAAAGGCATGAAGTAATAAAGGTAAATCAATAAAACGCTTCTTCTCTATTGAGAGACAGATATGACTTCATGTTCTAAAACAGGTTCAAGAATGGATTGAAATTAATTCTATGAGAGAAATTTATTGTCCTAAAAAATCTTTTAAAAGATATTTGGCCAATCTGGCGATGTGGACCAACAGGCCACTGAGGGCCTGGCTTCAAGATTCAGAATAAGATGCGCTAGTTTAGACATGCAGTTTGTTTTTGTCTTGGCAATAAGTGTGTGTGGAGGATATTTACAAAGATTGCAGGACATGCAAACCAGTTTGGTTCCATTCATCAAAATGAACAGATTGTGTTCTAGTGGCAGTTTACTCATCGTATACGAAAGATGAGGTTCAAAGCCATGAAGGTGGCGGTTATTAGGATAATTATAAAACAATAATAATCATATTACAAAAATGTCTTATCTATAAGTGCTATGAACAAAAGTTATACAAATATAAGAATATGGTCTGCATATTGATGAAGTATTGATGCATATTGAGGAAGGCACACTTAGAAAACACAAATCTTTTTGCACCTCTGATCAAAGATCTGCTTTGTGTGTATAAACGTGTTTGCACCTGTTTTGAGACATGCAAATCTTCTAAAAAGCAGGTCCATTCAAAACGTTTTCTAAAACTGCAATCAGGGTTCTGTTTTACTAAGAGAATGAAACAGAACCCAGACCTCTGTTTCTGTTGCCTTGCCATAGTAACATTCTCCCCAGAGCCAGCCTGGTCAGCAGCAGGTTTTGTTCAGTAAACTTGGAGTTGTGCTTTTGTTACTCTGACTCTGTGACCTCAGGGCCCTGATTGCACTTCTGGTTCATGTCGGTTGCAAGCATGGCACACAGAAGCGTATTCCCCTGACCCATCTGCTGTCACTAAACTTAACATAAGAAATCTGTAAACCTAAAGTCAAGGAAACAGAATATTTTGGATAAATTCTTTTCACAGTATACAGGAAACTACTTGCTATGTAAAATTAGCAATTGAATTGGAATTACTTTAACATAGACTGCAGACAAAATGAAGTAGCAGGGAATTTTGTTCTATTATTGTTCCAAGAAAAGAACATGTTTTGCAAAAAGAAATTTAAAAAGCTGTGATTTATAAATGAAAATTTGAAAAACCTTTTTAAAAAACAAAAGCAAAAGCACTCTTTACATCTGGAGTGAAGAGAAAAAACACATTTCTGTTGGTCTGCTGGACGTTAACAACAACATTTTGATTGGTCAATGTGAGCGTTTATACTGGACATCAGGTGAGGAGAACTGGATCGGTAAAACGTAAAAAGAATGCAAATTATGAAACTCAATCTGAAAAAAAAAAATTTAGATAAAAAAAAAATTGAATATGAAAAAAACTAAAAAAAATAATAACGGTAACTCCATTGAAATGATTAAAAACTAAAGTAACGAGCAGAAAGTACAGATATTTGTGTAAAAATGTAAGGAGTAGAAGTAAAAAGTCACCATAAAAATAAGTAGTAAAGTAAAAATATCAGAAAAATCTACTTGAGTACAGTAACGAAGTACAAATACTTCGTTACTTCCCATCTCTGAAATACAATGGTACGAATCTACAACCCCAGATGAAGCTGAATAACTCCTACCAGCTGGTAAAAAAAACTGTCTGAAAATTAGTCTCCAGCTGTTTCTAAATAAAAAAGAACAGGAAGAAGACAAAAGCAGAACCATCAGACCAAGCAATATTCTACACAAGGGTTTGCTGACTACGAATTCAGCAGCTGCATCCTCTGAAGGCCAGATTGGTGGGCTGATTACATCATAGTTCAGATTTGAGGACTCCTCGTTATCCAGCCTTCTTTTTTGCCAGTTTTAAAGGATAAGTCCCCTGTATCCTTCGTAGCCTTGGGTATCCCATGATTCATTGCAAATCCAAGCAAGCCGACTGCTCCGTGCTCAGAGGAAAAAGGGAAATGGCGCCAGACAGTCAGGAATATTGGAAGAGAATGTTAATAGTTCAGTCTGAAATGAATGAAAGTTGTTTTTTTGAATGGTTATTGAGTCAGATATGTGGCAGGTAATGTTTGGTTTATTGAAATGTTTGATCTGTTCCTTTGCAAATGGGTTTGGCTGATATTTAAGCTCAGATTCCAATATCTCTGCAGTGTGGGGACTATATATCTGATATCTGACGACAGTACTGCTGTTGAAGCCCCTCGAAAATGTTATTAGCACCCAAAACAGTATTGAAAAGTTCAGGATCCATTCTTTGCCTCTTTGTGTGTCGACATTTGCTAGGTGACAGAGCTGTACACTGAGCTCAGCAAAGATTAAACATTCAGTTAGCGGTTCTGTTTTCATCCACTTTTTCTTTTTTTATTGGCAGTTGGTGAAAAACCTACAGGTGCATTTCGGCCACCAACTGGTAAGGAATGTGATGCTAAGTTCAGACCGTAAGCAGAAAATGAAGCAGCAAAAACGCGCATGCTGCTTCATTTTTTAATGCTTGTACAAGTTTATTTCTGATGCGCAGCTGAAGCATCTTTGCTGCTCTAGCAGCGTGGTCGAAAAGTGCGGCTGATGCGAGCTGGGCAGAGCTACCCTATCCTTTCTTTGCCTGTAACAATGGCAACTATATTTGCTGCTATATAGGTGGGTAAAAAGTAGTTTTAAAATGTTTTTAAGTAAGAAAGTCTACCTGAAAACTTCATCTGTGTAGTCAGTTCATCAAGATTATGATCCTTCAACAGCAGCCTCTGGCCCAGTAGCCTCTTAGTGGTTTTCCGCTACTGTTCGCGGTGGCTGGAAGGCGTTTTTCACGTGTAATCCAAACTGCAGGCACCAGACTAATGAAATTTAACATATTTTGCCGGCAGGTTTCGACATTTTAAGTTAATTTAGGCATTAATTAACTGTTTCAGAGGAGTGATCATAGCGCTCTGCATCAGAAGCAATGTGTCTGTCTCCCTGCCAACTCCCTGATCAGCTTCTCTGATTGGTTGATGTGGCGCGTCGAGCAGGAAAAGTTCAATTTTGCCAACTCCAGCAGCTGCTGATTCTGAAGCGCATCATGCGCGTCAGATGCTCAGAAGCTCGTGAGGTGCTGCTTTAGCTGTGCAGACCTTTTGTTGTGCCTTGATGCACATCAACCATAGACTTTGCGTGTAAACTAGCTGCTTCTGCTGCTTCTGCAGCGTGCGTTCTGAACAAAGCATAACAGTTTCCTCTTGGGTTGTAAATTCATACTAGTACATTTTTGGATTCCTACTTGTCTTCTGGCAAAGCTGTAACTTTTTTCATTTGTGTTCAGAATTATTACATGCGAAACATCTGATGTTACTGTACATGCATGTATGAGTTGACAACAAGCAACCAAAAAGGTAAATCAACAAGTTGACAAACAACCAAAACAAATCAGATTTAGTTATGTATGACTGCATCACATTTATATGTTTATGCCTACATTTTTACTGACAGTTATTTTACCCCACAGGGTTTGACCCAATATTTGGCCAAAAAAAGAAAAAGAAAAAAAACTTCTGTAAAAGTAGCAGTAACTCAGCAGAGTTTTGGATTGTAAGGAGAAGGGAGCTGCATTTCCTTGTATGTAATATGGGGATCAATAACGGAGATCTGTGCCTGCAGCTCTGTAAGGTAAAAAACGTACTGGCCTGGCTTTCTGGCACATGCACATACAGCAACTACACTAAAATTAGATATTAGCAGGTTTATGGACAATGCTGTCATCAGAGAGGAAGGAATAATAGTTAAACTTTCCAATGAAGATGATACTCTTATCCAAAACGTTTTTTTTAAATAAACCTTTACTTTAGGATGAGTACTAAAAGAATACTGAACTAGTTTGCATGTTAAATTACATCCCATCCTTAAAACTTGATTTAAAAAAATACAGAACTGTACAATAAAATGCAGTTTTCTGATGGTTTCTTCACTGCTTTGCAAAAAAAAAAAATGTGCCTGGACCTTTAAAAACTAGCTACAAGCAATATATTCTAATGGGGTATTTGGGGCTCTTTAGGAAGATATACTTTGTGTATGTCCGTATTCCACGTGGTTCATGAAAATGACACAAAAAAACAAACAGCACAAAAAAAGACAATTCATATGAACCCGTCTGTGGCGGTTGCTGCATGTATGACACCACGTCCCTACTATAACCACCAGCTTTGACCAGCAACAGCTCTGTTTGTTATTTATTCATTTTCTCTAACTTTTAAATTTATTGTTAGTTTTAGCTAAAAGTTAACGGTCGAACTCTCCAGCTTTATGTGGAAATAAACGATGAACCAAATTAACTTAATTCACGCGATTGTGTCTTAATATTAACAATAATCCTATTACAAACGTGAAAAATATAAGCATAAAAGAAAAAACCATAGTTTTGTCATTTTTTTGCAAGGGCGACATTATGTTGCAGTACTCCAAGCGGTGACGTCAAGGCGTTGTTTCCCTCTTTAGCTTCCAGTTGAATACATTGGTAAAAAGTGTTGTGCATAAACGCCGTTCACTGAATCCGTTCCTATTTTTTGTGAACTGAATGGATCAGTTTTGAAGTAATGAATGTGAACCAGAGCAACGTTCACTCTGAGAATGATGAGCAACACACACAGCTCACGTTGGCGATCATTTGATAGCAACACTTTTCACTGGATAATGTCAGGTTTTATGGCAGTTATTACGGTAAACAGCCTGACAGAGCAGCATGTCTACTGCTAGTACTAGTAATAATAATAATAATAATAATAATAATACATTTTATTTAAAAAGGCGCCTTTCTGGACACTCAAGGTCATCGTACAAAAGCATAAAAACAGTGTCAGAAAAAATAAAAATAAAAACATTTATCATGATTAAAAATCATTTAAACAAACTAGTCTGCTCCATTCAGACATGTCTGCTGGTATTTCTGATGCCGGTTTAGCAGAGTTTCATCAACAAGTTTGATTAACAAAGGAAGACTGGGACAGAAAAAAAAAACTCAGGTTTTAGTGCAAACTGTTCCCACCAGAACTTATCAAAACAAGTCAACACGTCAGCCACTTCCACTTCAGATTTAAAGCCACACGGAGTTAAACCATCCAAGCTATCTTGGGAAATATCTGCTACTGAATGAGGAACAGAAGAAATCATTTTGGATCCAGATCTTTTCAGCAAAACCTGAATGTTCCTGAATGTTTCAGAAATTCTGTGTTGCTGGTATTACCAATGTATTCAACTGCTAGCTGAAACATCAACCAACCCTGTGATGTCAGCGCTTGGAGTACTGCAACATGGCCGCACCCTTTCCAAAAAATAAAACAATGCAATGATTTTCTTTTAGGTTTATTTTTCATGTTTGTTATATCTTTATTGATAACAGTGAGACACAATCTTGTGAATTTTGTTTTTTTCTTCTTCCACTTTAAGGAGAATAAACAGAGACAGGACACTTCCCTTGGCTTAGCCTCACCAACTGGAAAGGCAGTGCAAAAAGCATAACCTGGTCTGCCTGTTTCCAGCCAGCCGGGGACGCCTTGTCAACACAGAGTAGCACAAACTCTGCAAAAATTGATCTAAAAATAAGTTTAAATTCTTGACATAATTTAGGAATTTCTTTCTCCTTTATATGAAGTGCAAATATCTCCATTGGAAGATAATTTCCTTGCTTACATAAATCAAGGGCAAATTATCTAATTTCAAGAAAATGTTACTAGAAGTTTTAAACAGAAGTTGCCATTTAGTGAAAACACTGCAAAATTTGAAATCATCTTATTTACCTGCTCAAATCAGGACTGAATACAGTTATTTTAAGACATTTTCACTTAATTTTAGTTTAAGTTTTTGAATTGCACACTTTAAAAACAATAGAGAAAATGTTTAAGGAGCCTATATATTGTACGTGTTTGAAGAGCCGTCTGGGTTACTGCCTAACTGAGCCACAGATAAACAGCCTCTGCATGCCTTCAATGCAGCCATCTTGTAGTTGAATTGTTTAAACCATAAAAAGTTAAGATCGATTAAAAAAAAGTGTACTTGCCTTTTATTAGAGAAGGAAAAAAAGATGATCTGCCATGAAATCAGTATTTTTCCATTAAAATAAGATAATTAAATGAGATGCTCTTTATATAAGATAATGTAAATACTCTTATTTTAAACTTTAATCATCTTATTTCTTTGGGAAATTGTCTAAATTACCTGCAAAAGCAGAAAAAATATATATTTATCAGACATAGGAATTAAATAATATAATAATTACAAATGTCCTTAATTACAATACTTACATTTTATTATGTTGTTCTCTCCGAAATAGAATTATTCATCTATTAATTTATTCTTATTTGAACAATAATTGCCTTACTTTGATATAAATTTCTGTGTTTTTTTTTTATTTTATTTTTTGCTTTTACTATTTATTTATAGTGTTTCACCTGTAGGAAGAGTAATGACCTATGTTGTAAGATTTCATAAATCTGTTCAGTTTTCAATAAAGGCTTTCAAATATGAATTCCCTACAGAGAAAACAATTTCAGAGTCTAATCTCTTCTCCAATTTTAACTGTGTCCAGTTTATCCTATGCAAATTGCAGCAGGATCACTGATGTGCTGTGACAGCTTTGTACGTGGTGCAGCAGTTGTTCCCATGGATCTGTGAGTGGTGATGCCAAGCAGGTTGGATCTGGAGCCCCTAAATCGGATCAGAACCAGAAAAGCCTGTGGACTCAGTTTCTACTCCCCCGCTGATCTCTGAACAGCTGTAATGCTCTGGTTTGCACTTAAACAACTCCTCCATGCATATCAGATCTTTGCTCTAAACTAATAAAGATTTAAATATCATCTGTGTGGTTCTGGTCTGAATATTGGAGCATAGGTGCTATTGATGGCACAGCTTCCCTCCATACCTGGGATGTCAATTAGACTGGCTATGCACCTGAATGCAACAGCTTGCAATGTTTAAACATTGCAAGCTGTTGCTTAGATTGGTTAACAGGTTTCTATCTAAAGAAAACCAGCTGATTGCATCCAGTCATTGAATTGGCCTGGTTCACTTCTCCTAGATGAGCATATAGAGACTGTAGAGATTCCCTTGCATTTGGTCATTGACTCTTGAGCAGTACATCAAACCATGCATGGATACAGTGAGAGTAAAGAGGAAAAACAAAATTTTAGCAGAAAGAAACCTGCAGTGGAACAAAGCTGCTGGGCGGCCTGCTATTGATGCAGAATTGGGGTTCAAGAAATAAGCTGACATGCAAAAGAAACATAAAGCACTGATCTATAAATTCTTTCTAATTTAGAAAAGGTAATGATACACAAGCCTTATAGGTGGCTCTGACTGGAAAAGAAAGAGTTAAGGTCTGAGCCAGTTTTCATGCCAGCTGGGTGAAGAAAGAACACCTAGTTAGTTACAGTATAGAAGCTAAGCCCAGAGCTATGTCTAAGAGAGAAACAGGACTAGCCCTGAGAAACAGCCAAAGCTTCAACATCTATAAACAAAGGTGTTGATGGCAGCAGTACAGCTGATATTTATATCCAAGATGGAGTCACAACCAAACAGGAACTGACCAGATGAAGCTATTAGAAAAAGCAGAGAGAGCATAATGTTAAAGAATGAACTAACAGATACTGCAGAATGGGAGAATAGAGATATAATGAAGCAGAATGATGAAAAGGGGTCCCTATGTCCTCCAGCAGTCTAAGCCTATAGCAGCATAGAGACAGTTCAGGATAACCTGAGCCAATCTAACTACAAGGGGCAGTCTGAGCTTCAAACCAGCAACCACTGCAATATCTCCAGGATGCAAACACCCTCCTCTTCTCTACCTGGTTGTTGTTTCGAGCCATTAGGCCAGTGTCTCTCCATTGGTCATTGGGTGTCCAGTGAGTGACACCTCAGTGGTTAAGCACCGATGCATCTATAAGGCCTATTGTCCTTAATTTACTTCAGGTCTGAAGTTCCCACGATGATCGTCAAGCAGGTCCATGTTGAATGGATCCGACCGAGCAGACAATAGAAACGTTATATTCAAGACGAATTTTGATGGGCAGAAGTGCCCAACCAGCACCCAGCTAAACTCAGGCACCAATGGCAACTTCAAGGAGAAAAATCATATTAAAATGTGAGTTCGAGCTACGAGAGCAAGCTCTAGCTCTGCTTTCCCCCACAGGTGGCAGTATAGGAAAACTTTATAATGTCTCTAATTAAAAAAAAAAGTACAGATTTTACTTTGAAGTCAAGTAATAAGGTAAAATTAAGTTATACAAAATACTTAAGTTATACAAAGGAACTTAAAAAACTTTCCCTAAATAACAATTTTTTGCAGAAAATACAGAATACTGACTTGGTCAGGTTTGGTTCTTGGTTGTAGCTTCAGACAGAATAATAATATGGATTAAACTGAACAGAAGTCCTGCATGAGCAGCTGAGTGCTTTTAGAGCTTGGACATTATAATATCAAAGCTGCATTAAAAATGAAATGTAACTTGAAACAAAATCCACATGTAAATAAAGGGGAATTTGGGGCCTGCTTCTCAGTGTCTGATCCATCATCTGAAATGATTCTCCTGTCTTCATCCACTCCTTCTCTAACAGTGTTTTTCATAAACTAACTCTTCTCCAGCTGGGCAGAGCCTCTCCTTGAATTGAGCGATGAACCACTTTATTGAAAGTGCAGATATTTAAGTTAAAAAGTAGGGAGTAAAAATAAATTGTCCTCAGAACAATTAATACTAACATAAAGTTAATATGCCACAAAAAGCACTGAAATACCTCTGACTGTTGTCACTGAAGGTGCAGATACAAGGTTCACCCTCACGGTATAACTGTGCTTGACCTAAACATTGTAGAAATCTGTGGAAAACAGCATCACCTCAGCATAGCTGCTGGAGGACTTTCCTTATCGCTCTCCATCCACATTAAGGCGATTATTCCTAAAAACAGGGAAGTATGATGTTTACATGTTTTCAGTTACTGTCAACTCAACTTTTCTGTGATCTTCAGCTGTATTTATATTTACATGTAGAGAGTTTAGTTTTATTCTGATATGTAAAACATGAGGTAAATTTTTTTTTGCTTTCTGTGCAAAATATTACTGCTGGAGTTTCAAAACATTTCTGCATGTGAACCCAAAATATAGCAGTCCACAGTAAATGTTGCAGTGTTGAAGCAACACTCAAGAGTTCATTAGGTCCCATTCTGAATTAGTGTGGGACCAAATGAACTCTCAAAGTGTTACTTTAACACTCTGGAGACCCCCCCAAAATACATCTAAAAATATATTTTTACTTTTATTTGTATTAAAGTTGCTTCACTTTTTTATTCATAAAATAAAGCAATTGTTTTACATTATTAAGAAATTTAATCATTGAAACATGGCATTTACTGATTTTATTCATCATTATAATTGTATTTTTAATAATTTATTGGTTGATCTTAAAATTTAATGGCGTATTTATTATTTGAATTATGTTTTAGAAAATCAGATAAACCAAATAAATAAACAGCATGAGCTGCTGTAAAATGTTTGCATGTCTGTTGATAGATTGACCAGCAGATGGCAGCATCGAGCTGCAGTAAGGATCGTAGAAGCAGTTCCAGAGAGCGAGAAAACTTAAAAAAAAAAAAAAAAAAAAGAAAAGATCCCAGAGAGAACAGGGAATAAAACTAATAGAATAACATGTTGGCGGTGAGACTGGGTCTCTTTTAATCTCTGTTATATTTCGCTGTTTCTGACATTAAACTCACCGCAACAACATGAATTTGTTTGAACTTTCACCGGGCAGATTCTGGTGATGAATAATGATTCAGGTGTCTTTTCATATTCCCCGAAAAAAGCGGTTTAAGCCACAAAATGATCAACTAAGTTCAATCCAGTTTATTTATAAGTGTTTATCATCTCAAGGCACTTTACAGTTCACCAGATCATGCAGTCAAACTGATTAAAAGTTTTCTATCTAAGGAAAACCAGTTGATTACATTGACACATTGACTTGAACGCAATCCCTCACACTAAGCATGCTTGTAGCGACAGTGGAAAGGAAAAACTCCCTCTTAACAGGAAGAAACCTCCAGTATAGGATCGGAACATTTTATATATTTATTTCAGATTTGAGAGATACCCCATTTATTTTTCTATGTTTTTATTTTATCATTGCCATACTTTCCATCCTGTAGTGTTTTTTTATTCACTTTGAGTCTTTGGCTCCTGTTAAAAAAATAGTTGTTGTTTTTTTTTGCAATTTAATTTCTAATGTATTTCCCTATTATTTGAAATATCCCTGAGAGGATGCAGCTATTTCATCCTTTCCTCTATCCTTGATGCTTATGAAGTGGAGCTGATTCCCTGCAGGTAAAAGTGAAACCAGCTGCCCAGAAACCTCTGTGGGTTTTAGGAAGTCCCTGTAACCCTTGGTTAGTTTGGCACACTGTCCGCGCTTTGTGGTGGCTCCACACCCCGCTCCGCTCCTCTCTCCATTCGCATTGCATTTCTTTGCGCTCCGGATGCAGACAAAGAAAAGGGAAAAAAAAATTCTTTTTTTTCAGCCCGCCCTGTTCTGCAGCTGATAATCTAGCACCAACTCAAATGAGCGGGTTCCAGTCCAGCCTGGGCTGTGGGTCACTTTTCCGCATCCATTGCGCAGGAAGAGAAGCGCGGTCATCTGGGCGCACAGGTGGCTGCTCTCTCCAAACGGTGCCAAACCATCTTGCACAAGAGTGGACAAAAAATAAAAAAGTAATAAACAAACAAAACTGACCAACTGCAGAAGAATTCGATCTGCGTTTGATTTAAGTTAAATGAATAAAAAAATGGATTTGCGTGAAGGATGCTGTGATGAGGAGAGGAGGGGACATGGGCGGGGCTGAGGCGCTTCTCGTTTCCCCTCCACGCTTAGCGGGGCAGCAGGGCTGGAAACACCTCCCGGGAGCTCAGTCCAGCACGGAGAGCCGCCTGGCCAAAGGAACGCGCCTCACACTAACCAGGATTACCAACAATTCCTGAAAAATATACCTGCTCTTTATGGCATGTGGCTTGTAACTTTACTCCTGTTGTACTCTCTCCAAGAAGGTAAGAAAATCATATTTGAGAAAATATCACACATTAACTTATTGCTATTTAAGGTGAATGAAAAGTTGCATGATGAAGCTGTGGTTCATAAAACATTTTTTTAATTCTGCATTATCATCGAGCTTCGACAGAAAAAAAAAATCCAGAGATCTGATTGTTCTTGCTCATTAAAATCAAATTGTATGAAACTGTTGCAGCGGATTGAGCAGAATGCATTGCATTTATTTAGTATATATTTAGTTTTCATTTTATTTTATTTTATTTGCAGCAGAGCTCTCTGTCTCTCAGATGGTGCTGATATAGCGCGGATTGTTTTCGCATTACCAACTCCAGTTATGAATATGTAAAATGGCTGAATGGGGAGAATGAGGTGCAAACAGAGCGGGATCTGGGCAGAGATGAATATGAAAATAAAATAAAAATGCACTTAAAATTAACTCATTTGCAATTTTTGTTTTAAAAGATTTTTTTCCACTTTGGTTCAAAGTTTTTATAAGTGGAGGTCTGTGATTTATTTTAGTATCTAGGTGCTTCCATCTTGTAGCTTCTGCTAATTGCAGCTGTTTGGATGGACTGATTGGAGGGGGGGGGGGGGGTTGCTACAGAGACGCTCTTATTTTTAGGATGAGATTTTTTTTTCTTCCTATTAGGGCAAATTGTTGTAATTTGATGGCAAATAAAAGGGGCCCCTTTTCTTCCACATCGGCCTTATTAGTGTAATAGGTCTACAGCCACATAAAGGCCATAATTAGAGCATTCAGGTTTGTCCTTCTCTCTTAATTCATCGCCCCCCCCCCCCCTTTTTTTTTTGTTAAATAATAAATAAAAAAAACTCCTCTGACTTCTTTAAGCCTGCACAAATGTTCCCTTTAAATCAGCCAGGGTGTGTCCTGTCCAAGATGGAACAAATCCCTGTTGTGAAGTTGATCATTGAGCTTTTTTTTTTTTTTTTTTTTTTACTGTGCATCAAAAAAATAATCCCAGCAAATCTGCGTCGAGAATTAAGAGGAATTCAACACTCCCAACAACAGAGGGTATTTATAGGCCTTGGTGGGCACCCTGTCTGCCTGGACCCTTTTTTTTTTCATCTAATTTTGTCAACATTAGCTGAAGCTTTGAGGAGTTAGTATGTTTGTGTTTTGTTGCTTTTTTTCTAAAAGTCCAGGATAATGGGACCTAGAAAAAATGGCCGTTTTAGCGCATAAAAAGGCCCTATCCCATAAGCTTCATTTTCATCATTCTGATTTATTTTTTTAATGTACATTTTAATTAAGGAAAATTATTCTCATCAAACAGACATATATTAATTTAAAAGTTTTTTTTTCTCTTTAATATAATTTATAAATTGTAATTTCAGAGCCTGACAGAGGGCTCAGCGAAATCACATTAAAATACGCAAATTTATTTCACCAATTGAGGAACTCCGGGGGCGTGGGTGCAGATTAGAGTCTTGCCCGGTCATGTTCCTCCCTAATAGCGCACCTGGACCCCCGCGGACGTGTCCGCGCGCGTGTGCCAACTAGCGCGGGCGCGTGCACAGTAGGCGCGCGAAGGGGACGCCCCTGGAAATGGTTGCGCTGGTAGGAGATGCTTATTCTAGTTTTTGTTTTTTAACTGCAGCACAACCAGAAAATAAATAAACAAATAAATAAAATGTTTGGGCCCTAAATAAAAAACATAAAATTGAATAAACTCAGTTCCAAAGTTTGCAATGGATCTTCAAAATCACCCTGTCTCTGTTGGTGTTTTTGTAAAAGTAGATGTGCAGTTTGACTCTCGTGGTCTTAAAATGTGCAGGCTGTTTTTATGCACTAATTAACAATCATGGAGCAAAATTTATTTTAATATTCTTAAGAAAATCTGATCTCATGGGAAAAAAATCAATTAAGTAATTTTTTTTTCTACCAATTTTCCAGGTTAAAACCAGAATCTATTTTAATTGGAGTTGTTTAATAAGGGGTGTGACGGTGGAGGAGTGTGTGTGAGTGTGTGTGTGTGTGTGTGTGTGTGTGTGTGTGTGTGTGTACCCCTTGTTCACAGTAAAATCCTCCACCCCCTCTTCCCCTCTCTGCAAAAGAGACACATTACAGCTGGAACTGAGTAATATGCAGCTTTTAATGACAGGCCACATCCAGGCCTCCTTTTTTTATATATATATATATATCAGATTTAATCTGGCATTACTTCCTTTTACCCTCCAGGACATAAAACGTCAATCTGTCGGAAGGCCATGAAGAAAGATAGTTAATTTGTCTGTTTGACCTTTCTTTGAATGTGATTTTTTTATTAAAATTTATTTATTTCTCTCTGAAATAACTCTATTAAAGCTTCTAACATGTAAAATCTAAATATTAGAAAAATAATAAAGAGTTTGTATAATTTGCTTTTAAATCTCACATCTCCACTTATGGATTAACTAAAAAAGCAGAACAGCTGCTGTCAAAAGTTGCTCCTAAAAGTCCTGTAGGATATAGCTCAGCTTTTCCTCAGTTTGAACCAAGGGAGGACAGTAAGATAAATCCACAGACCAACACCAAATATGAATGTGCAAAATTTTCTCCAGTAAGAACTCTGTGTATCAACACAGCCTTTGCTAAATTGAGCTCATCTGAATTTCATTGGACGCTGCACATTTCTCTAAAAAAGAGGGAGCGTTCTGCAAAAATGTCAAATCTGAAGCAAGTAGTTTTTTTTTTGTTTTTGTTGTTGGATCTCCCTCTGTCTCCATCTCTCTCTCCCTCCATCTCCCCCCTCCCTCCCTCCCTGCCTTGCTCAGTCGCTTCCTCTCGCAATAACTCCCCTCCCTCTCTTCCCCTCATCACTAGGCAGAATTAAAGGCTGGGGGAGGGGCAGTTTATGCAGACTGTGCTGGGACTTGTGATCTACAGATTTGATATTCACATTAAGAGAGAAACTGGCTGCTTTGAAGTGAGGGGGGAGCAGATCCCTGGGGATTGCTGAAGTAGCACACTTTTTCTTTTTTTACTGACACAGCATGGTCCGGGTCTTTTTTTTGGGGGGGGGGGGGGGGGGGGGGGGGGCAAGATTTTGGGGGAACAGATTGCTGGGGACAAGGGAGGGGAATATAGAGAAGCCCCCCCATTGATCAGATCCAACTTCAGCGACCTTCCAACTTACTGCTGTCGTCATTTCGGACCCCCTCCAACACACATACATGTTTACACCTGTCTGCATTCCCCCACATCGACTCCCTTCCCTCACCCTGCTCCAGGTTATCCTCCCATACATAGTTGCCACCCAAATCAAAACACAACTTTCTGTCCTGAAAACAGCAGACGGATGAGTGATGGCGAGATGGCAGGCCAAGCAAAGAGGGAAAAAACTGAAAATGAAGCTGGTTATAAAACAGAGCGGGGGGGAAAAGAGGAGAGAGATTTTCCTGACAGCTCACGCTGCTAATCTACGTGCAGAAATCAAATTCTAGATTTGACCTTTTGCGTCCAGACCTATTGATGTGTTGGACATTATTTTTAGGTCGAAATTTGTGAGACGAGATAAGCATGAGGATGTTTTGTCTTCGGTTGGGCACATTTCCTTTGGAGTTGTAGGAAAATGTGTGAATTTGAATCATTTCGGGGGCTGTGGAGGTTGTTTTCTCCTCGTCAACACGATACAGCTGTGAACGTAGAGTGTGTCTGTGTGCATTCGCATCCTGGAGAGGCGTAGATCAGCTGCATTATGCATGATGAAACCTTGCATAGGTTATGACTTCTGCTTCTCCGCCATACATATTCATGCATGGCTCACTGGCAGGGCGTGTAAAATAGTTCCTGCGACTCTGACAGCCTGAGCTGCAGCTCCAGCGGTGCCATCAGCGCCGCCAACACCTTCCTGTAACGGCTGGTTTTCTCTCCGGGGCTGTGTCTGAATGAGGCTGATGAAGCCTCCTGGGTGCAGAGGAGCTGCAGTAACACCTTCAAGAAAACTATGCGCCACTATGGATGCCAGGGTATCAACTGTCCACCATGCTGCAAAGCCTGGGCAGCAACAGTTTTTCTTTTTATAACATTATTCCCAACATTTAATTATCAAATGTATTCCTAAATGAACACACTTAAAGGGAAATATTTTAGTTTACAATTTTAAAAGGCAATATATGATATCCCCCATTTTTTATGTTAAATTCAGTTAAATTTATTTATATAGCACCAATCTACAACAAATGTCATTCCAAGGCTCTTTACAGAGACAATTTAACCAGATCATCCTGTCAGATTGGTTCAGTTTTCTGTCTAAGAAAAACCAGTTGATTGCATCGAGTCATTGACTCTTCAGCAATCCCTCACACCAAGCATGCTTGTAGTGACAGTGGAGAGGGAAACTCCCTTTGAACAGGAAGAAACCTCCATCATAATCAGAACAAGACTTAGTGTGAGCGGCGATCTGCTGAGGCTGACTGGGGTTCAAGGAGACAGAAGCAGACATAGAAAAAGAAGCAGAGATACACAAGTTAGTCCAGTTAGTCACAGTTAGAGAAACAGGACTACACTGAAAAACAGGCTAAGCTCCAACATCTAAAAACAAAGGTGTTAATGTCAGCAGCACAGGTGATATTTCTCTCCAGGTTGGAGTCACAGCCAAACAGGAACAGACCAGATAATGTTCTCCTCCTACTAGGATGAGAAAAAGCAGAGAGAGCGTAACGTTAGAGATTGAACTAACAAATTCTGCAGAGTGGGAGAAAAGAGATAAAATGAAGCGGAATGATGAAAAAGGGCTCCCTATGTCCTCCAGCAGCCTAAGGCCCCGTCCACACGAACCCGAACCCTGGCCTAAACGCACAAATTTTTCACCAAACCAGCCTCTCATCCACACGAAGCCGGCGTTTCGGGGGTCTGTAAACAATCTTTTTTTTATTCAGCCTTCAGAGTGGGAAGATTCTGAAACGCTGTTTTCGCGTTTCCATCTTTAAGCTCTAACCGCATTTTTTTTTTTTACACGCATGCGTCATAGCGTCGCCTCTAAACACGCATGCGCGA